ATATGTCATTTCATAATATATAAAAAAGTGACAGAATAATATAAAAGCATACCACTATTTTCAATACTCCATAACCAGCTTCTAGCACACATCAAAGCCTCTAAAGTTGTCCAATGAAGTCGATTGCGATGCGGGCTTAAAATATTAGCGCTAGTACTGAATGTGGATTCTGAAGCTACTGTAGAAATAGGAATTGCTAAAATATCTTTTGCAATTGCTTGGAGTGTTGGATATTTGATGTCATTTAACTTCCACCACAATAGAATATCAAAATCAGAACTTCGCGGTAAAACTTCCTCTTCCAAATAATGATCCAATTCTATTTTGACATATGAAGTTCTTGTTCTTTTCTTCTTTCGAACATATGCATCATAATCATCTAAACTATCATTAGCCACACAACTAGATTCCAGCACTGGTGAGTCACCACAATTCTCTTGGTTCAACTTCAACTGATAATCAGCAACTAAGTCATAACATAGTTGTTGAATCCTCTTAACTTGCTAAAAAGAGTCTTGTTCATACACTTTTTCATAATAGTATTCAAGTAACTCCATTTTGTATCTAGGATCCAAAACACTAGCAATTCCCATTATATCATGGGTGACACTCCAATATTTATCAAATCTCAGGAAAAAAAACATGTTAGCAGTGGGATACTTAGTACCAGAAATGATTTCAATGATTTTATTGAACAACTCCAATCTTTCACAAACATCTTTTGCAAATTTTCATTGTGAACTAGTTGGAACACAAATGTATCGAGTGTCACGTAGCCTTAACCGGCTAAATACATCCTCATACAAAATAGCAATGTCAAGCATTTTATAAGTGGAGTTCCATCTAGTTGGACAATCTAAACTTAAAGTTTTAGTGCAAGAAATTCGCAATTGCTTAGTTGTCTCCTCAGATTTTTCTTTTCTTTTGGGAGTTGCTGTCCAATAAGCTACATTATCCCGAATATTTTCTATTCCATCTTTGACTACTTTAAACCATCCTTTACTATCAAATTTAATATGTGTGCGCAACAACGCATATGAAGTAAAGATCCATCCCTCAACAAAGTACTTAAATGCAACTTCTCCTTAATTTTGTTCATCACAGTATCATTTGTGCTACAATTATCTAAAGTGATAGTTGACAATTTTGTATCGATATTCCAGTCCATTAAACACTTAACTAAAGCAGCACAAAGTCTATCACTTGAATGAGGAGCAGGAATATAAATGAACCTAGCATATAATAAAATTCAAAATATGAAATAAATGAAGCTAAAATATTATATTTATGCTTAAACTAGACATAACAAATTGTAATTACCTCAAGATGCAACTCTGCAAATTCCAAGACCCATCAATATAATGTGCAGTAACAGCCATATACCCCTTTTTTTGATTACTTAAGTCCACATGTCTGAAGTAATCGCCATTCTTGCTCGAAGACTATCTAATAACTTTGAAGTTATTGTCTTCTCAAACTCGTACACTTTAAATATCTCCTTCCTGATGGTATTTCTACAAGGAACATGAAACAATGGTTGTAGAGAAGCAACAAATCTTCGAAAACCAATATGATCTACAATTGAAAGTGGATACTCATGCATAATTATTGCACGTGCAAGCTCTTAGCCTTATCCTCGCCATTAACTTTCACCTTTGCAAAATGATCCCAAACCTTACTCCTAAGCCTTCCTTTCTTTGTTTCCGCCAATGCCTCTATATTATCACATGTATCCATTTTATTAGTTGTCTCATCATTAGGTGTTTCAACTGTTTCCTTCGATGGTGTCAGGCCATTAAGCGAAGAGTTGAAACTTTCTCCCATAGCGGGAGCTACTTGGTGTGCACTATCTTGTAAAATAAGTGGGTTAACGTTACCAACATTTTCCATGTTTATCTCCTGTTGAGTTGTTCAAATTAAAAAACTAATTAAATGCAATTTATATCAACAATAACTCATTAAACAAACAACCTACCATTTTAAACTACAAATTAAACCATTAGTTACATAAAACAAATAATTTACAGTAGAGAATGTCATTTGAATATACTAAATAGTAAATACTTGGATAAATAACCAAACCAAACCATAAAAGCATAGTCACTATATTTAAAAAAAAAGCATAATTAAATTTTTAAAAAAATTAGAACAGCAACATAGTCATTATTATTCATTTGTATTTAAACCCAACCAGGTCCCTTTCCATAGACGATAGAATGACTCTATGGCTCAACACCAAAAAAAAATGACTCTATGGCTAATTGGCTATATGAACCTCTTATGTTTATCTAAAATCTAAATGAAGCAGGTTAATTTATTAAAAAAAGACAAACAACTTTTCTTCTCCAAAAAAATAAGAAACAAAATGGTTGAGATTGAAATTATAAGAATAAGAATACTGATATAGATATAAATTTTTGTTAACTCATAGAATGGTTACACACATAAAAATTAATGATATCTCAACTCTCAATAGGTATATACGCCCATGGCCTTTCATTAATAATTTTGCTGTTAGTATGGAAAATTCATACATATATTTCTAATACATATTTAAACTTTTAAACACTCTAATAAAAAAACTAAGAGAATATAGTGCTTACAAACAATCACATTCTTCTACAAACACAATAAAGTTTTAAGATTTAGAAGTAAAAATAAGAGATTAAAACTTACAGCAAAAATAATTTTGATGAGGATGCCAAGATGGTGATGTCGTTAAGATGGTGATGTCAACAATGTTATCTTTGTTATTTTACCTTATTATCTTTGTTAACCCTAACCCTTGTTGGTTTCTTGATCATAAAGAAATCATTTATACTTTGTTTCAAGGTATCCAATTTACAACATTTATCATACTAATACTCCCTCTTCTCATAATAGGTGTCATCTTTTCTATTTTTATTTGTCTCAAGTTATTTGTTCCTTTAAAATAACAATGTAATATTTATTTATTTTTTCTACTAACTTATCTTTACTTATTGTATTTTAAATCAGGTAATTACTCCACTATCTATTATTAATAAGATTATTTTAGTAAATAATATTAATTTTATTATTAAAATAACACAATTAATCATTATCTTAAAAAGTATGAAAATCTCAAAAGAGATGAAAGAAATATTTGTTTTGCATTCTCTGTATATAATATATTTTTAAGATCAAGCTACTATAATTTATAACTTTTAGTGTTATCTCGTCTCTTCTTCATTTATTTTCTTATAAGATTAATGTGTTCAGATTGAATTGATTTGAATCGATTCTGAAAAAACCAATATTTAAACCGGTCAGAAATGGAACCGAATCTTTTTATCTCACCTATAAATTGATTCGATTGCACTATTTGGTCCCGAACCTGAACCGACATGAAACAATGTCCATCTCTAATTTTCACCAAAAACCACTTAATTTTTGGTCGACATTGATTCATCATATTATAGAAGACTAGTCCAGTCCATTCCACCATGGTTTACTACATTGGCAAGATGTCAGAAGATTTAGTAGCCAGGCTGTGTGTTTTGGTAGATGGATGGAAGCAATTGCATTGCTTACACATTCTTGTACATAATAAACTAGTAGAGCTGGCTTACTACGGTAGTCTACTGGATTGGTGTATTTGACTAATTGACTCTTTTCACCAATAATTCTTCTCTTTAATGCTTGCACTAACTTTCACACGGTTTCAATTCTTCTTGTTTTTTTAATTTCTTTGAAAACTCACTATTAGATCTTGAAAACAAGAATCCAAAGCTCCTCGCAAGCCAGCATCCATGTTTACCGCCCTTAGTTCAATTGGAGTACATGCTAAATCAGTATATATATATATATATATATATATATATATATATATATATATATATATATATATATATATATATATATATATATATATATATATATATATATATATATATATATATATATATATATATATATATATATATATATATATATATATATATATATATATATATATATATATATATATATATATATATATATATAATGAATTTTAAATATAAAAATCATTAAAAATATTTAATTTTAGTGATGATTCTTTATTTTTTTTATATAAATAAGATGTCTTTTAATCACTTGAAGATGACAGAATAATTATATCTCACAAAATTTAATATTGTTTTAGTTATGACTACTTTGAAATTTTATAAATAAATAAAAACAAATTTATATAAAAAAAAATTGATAAATGAATGCCTGTTGTCATAAAAATGAAAAACAAATAAAGTGAAGGAAGTATTTATTGACTATTGTCACAAAAATTCTTAGTCAATTAGAAAATCATCACTATTATTTCGTTGAAAATAAGACTTTTATGTTATTCTTTTCCTATAAAAATATTATTAATATATAACATTACTAGGAAAAACATTTTACAATAAATTTTACTTCATAATTTTATTAATAATTAATTAACTTAAAAATTTATAAAGTTTATAAATCTATTGAATATTTGTTTTTATATTATTTAATACTATAAAATTAATTAAATTTAAAAAAATTAAATTTTATTGTTATTAGTTTTTAAAAGGTATGACTTCAAATTTTGTTTTATATCTATTAAGTTGCACACTGCCGGCAAAATATAACAAAACATATATCCACCTAAATCGCATCAGTTTTTTAGAAGATGCAAAACCATAATCAATTATGATAAAAATTGAACGATAATCCAAACATAGAAAAATTACTCTCTTTTATTCTTTTTCTACCACATAATCAAGAATCTAACAAAACAAGAAAATGGGAGAAAGATAGAAAAAGAAAATGCAAAAGTAAACTATATTGATCTTGAGCAAGAATTCAAAATTTCACTCTTTTCTAACCTAAACAACAACATATGACAAATATGAAGAAAACATAACACTAACATTGTATAACAAAAAAAATAACATCATTGAGTTTCCAATATCTGAGATTTACAACACTCACACACTTTGCGTCGTAACAATTACTTGCGCTAGATTTCGAACTTCCTTGCATTATTTGATCATAAGAGAAGGAATGGTTAAAAGGGTTTGTTTTTCCCTCCCAAACAAACGTTTCCATGTTTTCAAATGACTCACAACATGTCCATGAATACTAACCCTAGTTGCAACCACACTAGACATGATTCTCTTTCTTAGCCTCTTTAACCTCTTCCCAATCTTCACCTTCAACTTAGATATTTTTATCCTTAAACAAGATTGTTTTCGTCGAGCATTCGCTTGTTCCAACACCTTGTAGATCAAGAATTGTGCTCTTCTATGAAGTATTTCTTCAGGATCTTCTTTATCCATCTTTGAGTAAGAGTAATGTTTCCTAGAAAGAGCCATTTTTTAGAAACTAAGAAAGAAGAAGAGGTAGATGTGGATGTAACAATGTGGTTTATGGTTACTATATTTATATAGTATATAGATTTTGAAATAATATATTATTTATAGTATTTATTTTTAGGGGGTGGTGCAAAAAAAATATATTAATGTGGGGTCATTCTAGGATGTCATAGGGTGATGAAGAAGATCATGTGCACCAATTATGTGTAACAAATAATGGAGTTTATTAATTTGTGCCTCTGAACTGGCTTACATCATTTAATTTAATTTAATTTAATTAATTAATAATTAATTCATGTCTAATAGAACCTGCCTTAGAAAAACACAGATAAATTTATAACTAGTGACACTGCCACCTCAAAGTGTAAATTAATTTTAGTGAATAATTTGTTCTTTTCTCCTTTGTCTTTTGGCTTCTAAGTAAAACCAGCATGAAATGTGACAAAAAATTAGGTGTAATTTATATTATCCACTACTCTTAAACTTAAAGTTAACTTAAAGTTAGCTACTATATTTCTGGTGTTTAATTAGTTTTTGTTGGGAAAATAAAAGGTTAAACTGTATCTGAAATTTTGTTGAGTATCAAGTTATCATACAATTATTTAATAGTTTGTTATATTAATTTTAATTTAATAAAGTAATGACATCATTGACCTCTATAATGCTAACTTAAATAAAGGTTTGACCACAATAATTCATATATAATACTAACTATAGTACTTGATGACTTAAACTTCCCCTCTGGCCTCTCCCTCTCATCTGCTTCTTGACCTACAAAAATTTAATAAATATTCTTTGAATATTTATCAGTTCATCAAGTCAATACAACAATTATTTTTTAAATCAGAAAGATTGATATAGTTTAACATATTCTTTATGATATATTAGTGGTGCTTCTTTATGTAACATTTCCTTTTGACATATAAGATGTAGTGTGAATAGCATACCTTTTATCACCGACTCAGAAGAGGCGTTACTCTGCCTGTGCCATTCAACAGAATCATATTTTTATATTTTTTTCATATGAAAAGAAGCATGAAATTTCTAATAGTTTTGCAAGTTGCATTCTCGTTATTATATTTGTTCGATATAGTAGCTATAATATTTGGTAACTTAAAGTTCTCTTCCTATTATATTGTTCTTCGCCTAAAAAAGTTTACTAAATTTTATAAATATTTTTCAATTTATTATGTCAATATTATAATTATTTTTAAAATAATAGAGAATGATAGTTTAATTTATGCGTCACATTAAAGAAAAATATATTTTAATAGAAATTTTTTTTTAAGATATTAAAGAAAAACATGCTAAAGAGATATTGATAGAATAAAATCCAATCAAATGGTAGAAGTTTTATGTAATTTGCGGAGAGAAGTTCTCTGTTGAATGCTTATCTTAAAATGCGTTTGGATATACAACGTCTTCGCTCAAAAGATCAAATCATCAGAAAGCAAGAAATCTTGTTTGCCGAAGATTATTTCTATGTGAGTATGAGATGTTTTCAAGGAACGGATTAGTCCACTCTTGACTTTCTCATGAAAAGCTCATTGGAAATTTTCTTTAGTAAATAAAGAAATATTGTTGACTAATGTTTTTGATTCATAAGAATTTCATAATAAAGTCTGCAGAAAAGGGCTGGAACAGAGATAGTTCAAATTTTGAAGCAATGATCCTCCTGATTCAAGGCATCTGAAAGTTGTTGTCCTTGAGAAGCTTCAAAGAAACCTGTAGATGTTTCGTGTAAAGAAGTTCACTAACTCATCATAGATATGATGTAAGTTGAACTCTGAGATTTTATTAGAAGTAGCATGGACAATTAAGTTCTGTTAACTTGAGATTTTATCTCAGTTGAACAAACTGTAATTGGTCAGATGTTATCATACATTCTTTCTCAGAAGTTCATAATGATTGGATCCTGAAGTCAAGTTGTTCAGAAAAATACAATGACAGAAGTCATTCAATCTGTTTTTAAAAGGGATTTAAGTCACTGGTGTTGTTCAAAATGAATAAGTCAGTTGACATTCTTTTCAAAAGCAAATGTACTGTCAACTCTGGTTGAAATAACTTTGTACGAGTTAGCTCAGCATTGTAAGAACAGAATTTTCATTTAGACTGTGTCATATGATGCATCTAAGTTTGATGATAATTGTATCAAGACTGGATCTGCATTTGGGTCATGCTAACAAAATCAGAAGATAAAGCCTGATGGAAGTTAGATGCTCTAAATCATGAAGATCAGAATATCCGTGCTCTGAAGATGTCTCTCAGAAAAACAGATGGATGATGTGTTGGTGAAGATCCTGCAGAATGCAACCAGAGGATATGAGACAAGTTCAAGAAGAGTTATTCAGAAGATCCTACTTCAGATGCTTTTATTGGTTCGTCTCACAAGATTCTGAAGAATCAGAGGGAAACACTGTTCCAGCTAAAGAATCAGAAGCTACCCCAGATGCCACTCCATTAGATGCTTTTGAAGTACCAACACTGAGAGAATCCTCCATAATCAAATCTTCTCTTCTATAGGAGACGTTTATTGGAAAGAAGGATGATCCCAGAAGAACAAGATTCTCTCTCAATCCTCAAGGCTAGTCAGCATGAAGGTTTTTACTACATAGAGACATATGCTTCTGTGACAAGGTCAGAATTCATAATCTTGTTAATTTCCTTTGTTGATCAGAATAACATCAATTTAAATCAGATGAATATTAAAAATACTTCTTAAATGGTTTTATTGAAGAAGAAGTATGTGTTCATCAATCTCCTAGTTTTGAAAATAAAAAATTTCCAGAACACGATCTATAAATTAAAGAAATCATTTTACAGCCAAAAACAAGCTCTCAGAGCATTAGTATGAAAGGCTGATTAATTTTACTCTGGAAAATAATCTTATCAGAGGAAAGATTGATAACACTCTTTTTTCATAAATCAATTAAGAAAGACATTTTAATCTGTCAGATTTATGTTGATGATATTTTTCTTTGGAAACAAATATTACGCTTGGAAAGGAGTTTGCTAAGTGTATGTAGGCAGAAGCTGAAATAAGCTCTCTGAGAAAAGAAGAGAAAACCTTGTCAAAGAAACTCCCTCTGCTGAACTTGATTTTAAGTTGATGACTCTGAGCGAAGAGTGTAAAGATTCAGTAGCTTCAGAAGACTCAGAAGCAAGGCTACAAAAGTGAAGCCTCAGAAGCGAAGCTACAGAGGCAAGCTACGGATGCTACAAAGGACTATGAGGAAGCAAAGCTGCAGAACATTTTGAACGTTTAATGAGATGCAACTCTACAGAAGACTCTGAGCACACTTATCTCAAATGTTGCAACTGCAGAGGCTCTGAGGATCAGATTACGCATGGCTATGAAACGTCAAAGTCAAAGTGATACTGTTGGTTAACTCATACATCAGAAGATCTGAAGATTACTCTGATAAGGGAAGAAATGGAACTTCATCAGAGGATCTGATGCAAGGAAACATTTCCATAGTTGTTCACTCAATAGATGATGATCAAGATGTGTAAAGTTGCAACTTCACAGTTTGAAGAATCTATTGTGGAAATCAATGAAATCTAGTATCTGAACCATATCAGTATCAAACCCTCTGAAGAAACACTTCTGGGCTTGATGTCATTGATTGAGCTATCATCTTTTAATGAATATCTTCTGGGAAAAGACCGAATGTCTAAGGTAGAGAATCTCTCCAGAAGATAAAGCAGAAGTATCTAAAGCTCTAGTTCTTCAAAATTAAGTACAGATATTGAAGAAAGGACAAACTTCAAAAGAAATGTATGTATTCATGAAGAATGAAAGCATTCTCTACAGTAGTCAGAATGATTACTCAGAACTGAATGCAATTAGTATCTATCATGATGCATATTGTTTCTGGAAGTCCTAATTGGTATCAAGTATTCCAAATTAAAGCATTGTTGCTAAGATTCAAGTCATGACTGATTTGGTAACAAGCTTGAAATCAGAAACCAAAGATGGATTAGCAGAAGAAGTCACCATCAGATGATCTGATGTTGATTGATAAAGAGCAAGATTGTCATTCAAATAGATGCTTGAAATATATCTTGATTTGATGATAGTTTGTGATGAACAATTGTGTCTATTCAAGGGATAAATTCTTATGATGCAAGAATTGTCTGGAAGAAGATAAAGACCAAAGATGGATGATCAGAAGATGAAGACCAAAGGAAAAATCTGGAATTCACAACTATTGTTCAAGATGATACAAACATCAGAGGAGATATGTTTCTATTCAAGGAAGCTGAAGAAGTCATTATGATTCAAAAGAAGAATGTAGCAGAAAGAAGATTAATTTGTCAAAGAGTATGTCAGATAAGTCCCTCATGCATTCAACGTACATTATAAAAAAAAGGTTAGTAAAAAGGTAGATCAGAAGCAGTACATAGGTATGATTTGCTCTCTTCTGTATTTTACTGTGTCTATGCCTAACATTCTTTTCAGAGAATATTTATGTGCATGATTTCAATCAGATCCTAGAGAATCTCACTTAACAGTTGTTAAGAGAATTCTGAGGTATCTGAAAGGTACTACTAATGTGAGTCTGTGTTTCAGAAAATCAGATAAATATTATTTAGTAGGTTTTGTGATGCTGATTGTGCTAAAGACAGAGTTGATTGCAAAAGCATCTCTAGATAGCATTTTCTACTACAGAAGAAAAATATGTTGCTGCTGCTAGTTATAGATTCAGATGCTCTGGATGAAGAGTCGGCTGAAGGACTATCATATGCATAAGAATGAAGAATCAGAATGCTTCTTCTCACACCTTCAATTAATCAGAACGCACATCACCTTCTGTTGGTATCAATTCCTACACCTTCATTGGAAGTAGTTGAACTTTGAATCTGGACGCTTTTCAAGTCACTAGAAGCTGAAGTTCAACTGGTTAAGGAAGGAGAAGACAAGCTAGAAAGGATAATAAGGAACTTCAAACTTCTTACCTAGAAGCAAAACAAAGTTGAAGAAAGAGCTGCTGAAGAAG